CTCGGGCCTGCCTCTCCGCAGACCCATGGTATGTCTGTGAGAAAAATAAGTATGTCTGTTGATTCGAATTGATATTCATGTTTGTACTCCAGCGGGAATCATCGTCTGCTTAATTTCAGGACACAGAGGTAATAATTTTTCTTTTCTTCAAGCATAGCAGCAAAACAAATTCTGAGCTAATGATCCAACCAGGCAGGAATTCACCTAGGACTTTCCAGGCATTCTAAGGGAGCTATAACATCAAAATAAAGAGCACAGCTCTACAGAGAGATTATAAGTGATTCAACCAGAAGTTCAGAGGGAGAGACAGCTGTCAGCTATAACCTATTATGTCACCCAAGTTATGCAACAGGGTCATTTGGTGGCTGCATTTAGGGTTGACACTAGGTAAGACTGTGTTCAAGGAGATGCTGTCAAGTGATAGAGCTATCTCTCTTGAAGACATGATAAAGGAAGTGTGTCTGGGTAAGAGTTGAAGGTAGAAAAAGCAAAGATTCAGACTAGTTTCTTTTACACATTTTCAAGCGTTATTTTTATTGTCATATCTCACTGTGGAGTTAGATTTTTCAATGTTCATATTTTTCTCAGATATGATCTTCCCTGGGTCCTTGCACACCCCCATGGCTTCAACCATCATCTTGCATAGGTGACTCCCAAATCTGTGTCCCTAGCACAACCCTTCCCTGTGCTCTATGCCCACATCCAAATGCTGGCTGGGAGTTGTCTGAATGTCCCTGACCATCTCTTGGGTAATATGTCCAATGCTGAGCTGGTCATCTCTTTCCCACCAAATCTATTTTACTCTGTATCATCTGACTTGATAATGGTGCTACCCACTCATGCAAGCTCAAGTTACAGATATGGAGGTCCCCCTACCCTCTTCCCACATGCCCTATTATTGGCAAATCCTTCTAAATACACCTTAAATCCTACCTTTCATTCCTTCAATTTGTGTCACCATTGGGAAATTCTGATTCCTTTCTATTTCTTAACCAAATTATTTCAATGATCTTCCAAGTGGTTGTCTGATCTCCTGTGTCCTATCTCATCAATCTGTCCTGAACCTTGATGCTGTCGTGATCAGTATCAAAAGTGTGTTTGAGTCTAACAATGTCTCAGAAATTATGTGCTACAATGCCCAAGCAGTATTCATTTTAAGTGTGCAAAACTAGTTCAGTATTCAGACACCAATCAATAAAATTCACCATATTAGTAGGCTAAGAAAAAAAATCATATGACTATATCGATTAATATGAAACACACTGGGCAAAATCCAACAGCCATTCATGATAAAATTCTCATAAAATTAGGAATAGAGGAGGGAACATTTTAAACTTGATATAAGACATCTAACATCTATAAAAAGAGAATAGCTAACATCATTTTAATGATGAGAGACTGGATGCTTTCCCTAAGACTGATAGCAAGAAAAAACTGTCCTCCTTCATCACTCCTATTCAGCATTCCAGGGAACTCCTAGCTACTGGGATGTCATAGTCAGTTCAGGAGTTCAGGCTGCTCTAGCAAATATGGACTGGGTGACTTAAACAACAAACATTCATTTTTCACAGTTCTGGCAGCTAAGAAGTCCAAGATTGAAATGCTAGAAGATTCAGGTCCCATGAAGGACCTGTTTCCTGGGTTACAGATGCTTGTCTTCCTACTGGGTTCCCATCTGGACTCTCATCTCCTCATAGATCTATATCTTCTCTGCTCTGATATCTCCTCAACCCTCCCCAACTCCTAAAATCTCTCTAGTTTCTCTTTGGGGCTCATCACTTCCCCACATCTTCTTTTCTGAATGCTGCCTTTAGCTTCTTGCTCAGATGAAAACCTGCTTCACCGCTGAGGTCACTGTTTCTTCTGTAGCCCTACTAACAGCAGCCTTTTACCCCGCTTAACATCTCTTTATTACTGGGCTGCAAAGGAGAATGTTATCCTTCGAATCAATGGTCCTAAATCATTTACTCTGTTGTCCCTGAAATCATCCATCTTTGAACTGGATGCCATCGGATCCCAACACCTGCCAGCCCTCCGCAACTCGCTCATTCACATACCATCTTCCTTGTGCCCACAGTACACCCCTTCATTCCCCGAGGAGTCAGGTCCTGACCCTCCGTGCCTCACTTCTCAGAACCCTGGTGACACAATTTATGTGAAAGAACTTGGCAAGCATCCACCTCAGAGTCATTTTTTCATTATAGTTGATTCAATGGACTTTTCTGAAACTACTACTTTTCTTTTGGTTTACTGCCATGGTTATTCAACCTCAAGTACGCTTTTCTGTGCCCTACTGTGTTGGTGCTGCTTCTCTGTGTAGAGTGGCAAAGGTCTTGGGCTCATAGCCTGGGTTCCCTGGGCTCAGGTAGAGTTCAGAGTACTCTAGGACTTTGGCAGCCAGTAGGCGGCCATGTTGGCATCAGATGAGATGGAGTAGGGGAGAAGGTAGGTAAATGCTCTCCAACAGCAGGAGAGAGGAGGGCAGTTGCTGAACCTGTTCTTTGAGTCCTCCTGCTGGTCTCTGTCTCCCAGGATCTGCACTGCATGTTCATGACAAGGACTGTATAACATATTGTGCAAAGACCCCCTGGGATGTGGATGTGGATGTGGATGAAATAAGCTTGAACTTTGATTTCTCTGCTCGTCCCTGCAAAGAAAATAAAGTTTGTATCCCAAATGAGATGGATTTCTCCTTGCCTACCAAAAGCTTTTCTTATGAAAGAAGAATTGCCACTGGGGCATGGTGATTCATGGTTAAAATCCCAGCACTCGGAAGGCTGAGGAAGGAGGATTGCCCTGAGTTTGAGGATAGCCTGGACTACACAAGTGAGTTCAAGGCCAACCTGCACTACATAGTGAGGCCCTGCATCAGAATACCTGCCACAGAAAAAGAACTACCAACCATAGCAGAGGTTGACAATTGATTCTTTTCTTGAGTAGATTTATCATTTTAAGTACAAGAAAAAAGAAAAAGGGAGAGAGCAAGAGAGCTCTAGAAAATCTTTTTCGTATTATGAAGAATCTCATGTTTAAATTGTTTTAACATGATATATATACACACACATATATATACATATATACATATATATTAAAAATAAAATGATAAAATGAAGAGTATCCTTCAAAAATTGTTGGGTCACCATGTGCCATCTCCCAGAGAGAGCCAGAGCCAGTCTTAGAAAGAATTTAGAACAGCTGGGAGCCGGGAGGGGTTGATGGAGCCACACTGTCCATCCTGGTTCCATAATCTCCCAGCATGGACACAGGAAAGATGAGAGACAGAAGGAAGCTTGCTGTGCAGGAAGACTGCTAAGAATGAGGGCAGGGGAATTCAGGGGACTTGTTTCAAGCATTTTGGGCCAAAGTGTGCTGTTTTAACTCTTTCATGGCTAAGTACAAGATAGCACTCATAGAGTCAAAGTCATAAGGAAAGACCAGAGCAGTCCTTGGGAAGGTGTAAGGTAAATATCAGGCAGTTCACTGAAAATTGAATTTCATTACTGTAGTCCAAGCCTCTGACCTTTCTGCCTCCTCCAGGATGACTCTGAGTGCTCTATCCCAGTCCTGCTCTCTTCTAGCTGTGTGACTGTCAGGAAGTCTCCGCACTCACAGGGTTATCCTGAGAATAAGTGAGTTAATATCTGGGAAGCACTTGGAATAATACCGGGCTCAGAGCCGGAACTATGTGCACGCTAAATAAAACACTGTGTGTGGGGGTTGTTATCCGGTTAATAGATCCCTTAGTTATTGCAGGCTCATCTGGTCCACAATCTCCTGAATGAGTGTACGGTGAAAGTTAAATAAAAAGAGCCAAATGGAACAATTTCAGGGCTCCAGGAAGATCAAAACCCTCTCACAGAATTTGAGATTCTCTCAGGGCTAAGCCCAAGACCTTCTCTGGGTGGCTCATATTTGTTTGGTTATTAGAAGAAGGGAGGGGAGTACTCAAGAAGGGCAGAATTACTCAAGGGCTCCTCCAAGTAAGGTAATAAGTTAATCCACCCAAAAGTGAGATGCCTGAGGCTACAGTCTTTATCTAGTTGAGATTGGATCAAGGTGTCCTTGGCTGTCACCTTGCCTTATCCTTTGAGGCTTTCTGGCTTCACCCACCATTACAGGCCTTAGCAGGGATTAGTGACTCACAGAAGTTCACTTACTACGAGTTCACCACCCATCTCCAGACAAGGAGCCTAGGTCTTGGACAGACTCACAAGTAAACACGAAAAGCCAATTGATTAATTTAAGTCCTGCTCAGAGCTGCTTCATAATGGTCTCCATCAGGCTGTTTTATTTTCCTAATGTTTTTTCAATAAACTTTAAAACAATTGATTGACACAAATATTTGAGGTGTTATGTGCTTTGATTCATGTGTACGTTGGGTAGTGATCAACTCAGAGTAATAAGCTGACACAACACCTTAAACTTTTGGCAATTTCTTCATGATAAGTGCATTCAAATTCCTTTTATAACTATTTTGAGAGATCTAATGCATTATTGTTAACTATATTCTCCCTGCTGTGCCATAGAATACCAGTATTTATTCCTCCTGTATTCAAACTTCAGTTTAACTATATTTATTTAAAAAGAAGCTACCATGAAAAGAAAATCACTACTGAAAATGGGAAAACAATATTACTTATTATAAAGAGAGGATAACTACAAATAAAGTCATCAAGAACAAAATAATGTTATTGAATTTGGGGTATAGTCTGAGGTGCATGTCAGGCTCGGAACCTCTCTTTTAAGAAGTGAGATTAACAAATGCTTGATCCTTAGAGACACAGTACCACCAAGTGAAATTCCCTCTAGTAGTCATAGGGATCAAGGGAGAAAAAGGGTGTACAATAATTTTCCCATGATAGGATTCAGTAGAATTGAATGTCACCTACAATAATCTCAGGATGACCAGGATCTGGTGGGCATGTTTTCCTCCTAAGGGAATCAGTGAAGCACACACATTACACACACACTCAAGCACACACCAGGGATGGTAGTCTCACCTCACACCTTCCTCCTCTTGTCCCTCAGGTCCACGTGCTCTCCTGCACCACTCCAGCCCTGTCAGGGTGCGTGGATCCCCGGTGCTCTCCATCCCATGAAGAACATCACCTGTCCAAGGGCACCAAGGAAGAGTTCAAGGTTCCTGTGGCCAGGCTGTGCTTCTCTTGGTTGTGCTGTCCCTCTATGCACCATGACATTCCCACAAAACAGGGATGCATCCAACTCCACTGAAGGGGTGGAGGGAGTTAAGAGAATCACAACATATCTTTAGACCACATAGCTTTAAAGCTATCTGAAAATCATAACTTTTTGCCCCAAGGTTCTGGGAAAAAGCACCCACAAAATGTCTTTTCTTTGTGAGCAGTTCCTCAAAGCATCCCCTCTTCTTCCACCAATTTCTGTTTCTTAACTTGGCTCCACTTTCTTCAGATATTCTTTTGTGTCGCACTAACTAATCAACCAACCAGCCAATTATCCTACCAGGCAACCAGATAACCAACCGATCAACCAACCAGCCAGCCGCCAACCAGCCAACTAACCAACAAACCAACCAACCAACCAAACAATTAGCCTACCCTCTCACCAACCATTTGACTACCAGTGAAGTAATCCTTCTCCTTATTCCCATTGTATTTAATTTCTTCCCCCGGTCATGACACTGAACCAGCTAGCCACAGGATTGGCTTTCCCCCTGGGCCCTATTTATGTCCTCTATCCACGGTGGCTGTTTTTTCAAGTTGTTTATTCAATCATGGTAATGTCTTGAAGGGCTTTAATAATTTGATTTCCAAATTCTACAGAGACAATAACTTTGTTGTTTTAGTTCCCACTGGGGGTTGGGATGAGGAAGATAAACCAGGGAAGCTGCCCCCGGGAGTGATGGTTCTGTCACTTCTGGCCACATCCTTCTGGTCAGCAATCATTGCAAAGCTGCAACTCAACCACAAAGGCCAGAAACTGCTTCCTTTGTGTCTGCAGACAGGAAATGGAGTGGCCAACACTCTCTCTGTTTCTTGCCTCTGACTGGTTTAAAAACAGAATGATGGTTCTGTTCCCACCATTGAAATAGGAGCTGTGGATTGCCTGCCAGACATCCAATGGTAAACTAGTTATGATGCCATTCTGAAGCTTTACCTAATACATGTAACAAAAACTAGGCTGGGTTTAGAATCTTCTCTGAGCTCTTGCCAGATGTCAGGAAGCTGGGATGCCATGGAAACTGGAATTCATTGCACATCATCTGGCTTAACTCCAAAATATCAAACAATAAGCTAGATATATAAATCAGAATCTTTCAGAGAGTGCTAAGTATATAAAAGAAACTAGATAGTTGTGATAAACTACTTTATAAGAGAAGGGAGGAAAGGGCTCTTTGCATAGGGTGATTAAAAAAGGCCTGTCCTAACAGCAATGTCTGTGAACAAGGAGAGCACAGAGGAGTTTTAAGGCAGTGAAACCCATCGTGAAGGGCACATGTCATCATACTTTTGTACAGACCCGTACAGCAGCCAGAGTAAACCCTAACGTAAACTATGGACTTGGGGACAATGACATGTTAGTGTGGGTTCATTGATTGTGACAGACGTGCCCCTTGGGTAGGGGATGTTAGTAACAGGGCAGGCTGGGCAAGTGTTGAGGATGGGGACCTAGGAAATCTCTCTTTCTTTTGCTCAGTTTTGTTATGAACCTAAAACTTCTCTAAGAAATTAAGTCTACTGAAAAAATAAACAACAGAAACAAAATAAAGCAAAGCAAAGACACGTGAGCAGAGTTGTGACTAACGCAGTGTGGGGAGGTGATTTCTGGGCAGAGCGATGGATGAGCAGGTCCAGGAGTGGAGTGGAGCCTGCTGGGGCACGAGCATCCCCAGGGTGTGTCCCAGGGCAGGTGTTGGGTCAGCTTTGGCAGCTGCTTCGGAGGCAGGAGCGGCAGGCAGACAAGCACTGTCGGGCAGATGCAGCCTTAGGTAACCATGCTTTAGTCAGCGGTCAGGGAATCAGCTGGGAGCAAACACGATTTCTCAGGGGATCCTGGCCTTGTGTGCACCATCAGGGATGGGTATTTGCTGAATGAATGGAGGAAACACCAAAAGACCAAACCAGAGGGACGCTCTGGAATATAAACACACTGTCACCTTCGAAAATATATGGAGGGTGTTGAAGCTGAGGAAAGTCTGGGGCACCATTGTTGGCTGGTAGAGACACGACCAGGCCTATACCACTGGTACAGCTGGAGAAACTTCAATGGAGTCCAAGGATTAGATCCCAGTAACCCCTTTCCTATGGGTCTTTTCTATATGTCTCCCCCACACTAACATATTTAAGCTACACAACAGACCCATGAAGAGGTAATTCTGCTTTACAGATGAGGAAGCCAAAGCTCAGGGAGGTTAAAGGAATTGCACAGGGTCACACAGCTATTAGGTAGCAAAGCTGGCCGTGCCCAGGTTGTAGAGGCTGGGGTCTGACCTTCCCTCGTAAGCTGAAATTAAGCTCAGTGTATTTTGACTCAGCACGGGGCTTTGTGCTAAGGGAAGCACAGCAGACTGGGAGTGCTGCGGGCCGGGTTTTGATTTATCTGAGGCTGGAAGAAGGAGCTCTGAGGAATGGCTCATCCATCTCCGGAGCCAGCCTTGGGAAGATCACAGGAGGCACCCGTGCTTGTCTGCCCTCGGCTCCGCTCAAGGTAACGAGATGCAGAGTCTGGCTGACAGCGCCGTTCTGTGCCAGGAAACTGAAAGGAGGCTCTCAGGACAAACGGGAAGGGCAGGAAGATGAAGTCCTGGTCTTCTTGATGCCTGGTGAGAGGGAGCCCGGGGTCCCACCATGCACAGCCCAGGCTGCCTGCGAGCTGAGTTCACAGCCTGGGCTTTCGGGGCCAGGCAAACAGATGATTTGCTCTGAGCTGCTCTGCAAAGAGCAAGTGTTGTCCTGGGGGTGAAGGCCATGTAGGACACAGAGCCTTGTCCCAGAAAGTGGCAAACAACAGGGCAACCAGGGTAAGAGAGGAGAGGCATGAGCCCAGAGGCGGCCAGACTCCAGCGCTAAGGGTCCATTGCCTCTCTCCACTGTGTCTCCCGCCTGGTCCAGTTTTCAGTTCTTTTGGAAGAAAGTTGCCCAGGTGTTGGGTGCTCTACTAATTTGCACATCTGGCTGGCCTTGGACTTGCAATCCTCCCATCTCAGCCTCCTGAGTAGCTAGGATTATAGGTGTGTGCCACCACACCCAGCAAGTTTGCACGTCTGAGAAAGCCTGGCTTCTTCCTCACTGCTGCTTGGCAGTGAGGCAAATTCCGGCTATGAGTGGAGGTTTTTCTCTTTATGGTGTTTACACGTTGTGTCGCTCACAAAATTCTGCACCCACTCTCATTTGACGGTTCTAAGGTCTGAGTCTTTCTGCCTTAACTTTGGAAAGTGTTTTGGACGGTTTGGTCTTGGCAGGGGTTTGTAACTTTTCCTTCTGGCTGAAGGGTCATGGATCTCTTGTTTGAAAATTCCTACTATTTTTTCATTCACCTTCATGTCTCCCTCTCTTCCATTTTGCTTGGTTTTTCTTTCTAAAGCCATGGCCATGATTTTCACTGTGTAAGACAATATCTGTTTCTAGGAAGAAAAGATGGCTTTCAGCACCATCCCTACGCTGAGGATGCCCACAGTTCTCTGTCAGCCTCTCCTAGGCTCCAGGTTCGTGTGTCAGGGCGGCAGATGAGCTTCTGCCCTCGCTTCTCTGACCCGTCTTGCTCCTAACCCATCCAGCCCTGCTGATGGCACCAGGGCGCTCTCCAGTCCGGAGCCTGCCATCTCCCTCAGGTCTGTGCCTCGCCTGAAGTCTCTAGTTGATCCTTCCTGCTCCTCCCTTTCTCTTGTCTCTCACATGCAAGTCAGGGTACTGCTGCAGCTCCTTCCCTAGTGTCACATGCACAGCCCTTTCCCAGCCCTTCCCCACAGTCCTGGTAGCCCCGTGCCTCTCAGCCCTCACCTGGAGTAGCTAGTGACCTCACACCCAGTCTCCTGCTTCTGCCCTTGACCCCGCCAGTTACCAGCCAGAAAGCTCGTTTCAAGATGTTAGTTCAGTTACATCACCCCTTGTTCCAACCTCTCCAACATCACTTTTCTCTCCTGGACTGAGTTTTCTCATCTATAAAATAGGTCCATTTAGTCCACCTAGTGAATGTATAAATGGAGCGAGACAATACACGGAAATGCGCAGGTTCTGGGGGCAACCGACAGGTGAGCATCCCCAACCTGCTTGTCTAAAGATTTTTTAAAGGCATACATTGAACTTACAGCTGTTTGGCAAAATATATCTTAACACCTTAGCAAATTTGTCTTTGTAATGAAACAGCAAAATATATAGTCAGAGCACTTGCTTTTCTCGAATGAAAGTTGGCACCCGAAGGACCCTTGAATTTGGTGAAGGTTTCCATGCCTGGGTCTTCTGCCCACAGCCAACCCTGTCTGGGTGAATAACCAGTGTAACAATACACAATGCACAGCAGGCTATTTATTTACTCAGTAACCTTTGATTTTCTTTATTTAATTCCAGAAAAATCACTAACAAACAGAACTCTCGCATAATTTGTGTTTTGTTGTCAAGAAAGCAGTAGCTGGCAAAGTTCTGTAAAGGGTCAGATAATACATATTTCAGGCTTTATGGACCTTTTGTCTTTCCTGCAAGTACTCAGCTCTGCTGTGGATGCAGAAAAGCTGCCAGAGACAAAACATAAATGGGCTGACTCTGTTCCAGTGTCATTTTATTTACAAGAAGAAGCAGCAGGCTGGATTTGTTCTGTGGGCCAAGTTTATGCATCCTTCATCTAAAGAATAAAAAAAAAAAAAAAAAGAATGCATTTGTATTCAAAATATGTAAATTTGAGTGTATTTTAATCAAAAGATAGTTTAAAATAACTGAAAAGTAGAAAAAACTTATTTTTCATGTATTAATGTCTTTACATAAAATATTCAAAATTTCTTAAAAATTAAAAGAATATAAGTACAATTAATGACAACCCAACTTTTAAGTAAAATTTAGCTAAAGCTGAAAATTTTAAATTCAGTTTTTAAAAAATGTAATTATGTTTTATTTGTGTGTTTGTTTGTTTGTTTTGTCTTTTTGAGACAGGGTTTCGCTGTGCAGTTCAGGCTGGCCTTGAGCTCACTATATAGCTCAGGCTGGTCTCGAACTCAAGACAATCCTCCTGCCTCAGTCTCCCAAGTGCTGAGATTACAGGCGTGTGCCGCCACACCCAGCTTTGCGTTTTTGAAAAGGAAACTGTTGGTAAGTTTAGCCTTCGGTGTCCACCTGATCGTCAATAAGAGGAATTAGAATGATGTGTCAGATATGTGACTTCTACATTTACCTGTGTGCAGACTGAAGGGCACTATGGAGCGTCTTGTGCTGCTGAGGGTTTCCTGGGAGCCGAATGCTGTACCAAACCTCGAGTATCCCTGGAATGACAAACTGTAGCTCAAAAAGTCCAGACAGAGATGTTGGGCACTGCTGGGGAATGATGTGTAGCGATGCAAAAATTTGATATTCTAAGAAGTGGGATTTGACAACTTAATGAACTTTTCTGTTACCTACTAGTTGGCCAGTCAAATCCTCCTGAACACTGAGGCAGAAGGTGCCTCTGAGGCCAGCAGTGGTCCC